GTGGGTTACATGGATGTATCAAGACTCACCAAATAGTACACTTAAGGTCTGTCCATTTCATTAAATACATCACTTTTACCTCAAAAGGGAATATAGAAGAAAAGCTGGATTAAAGAGAAACAAAGAGAGAAAGAGATCTGGTAATGTGATGGATTTGGGAGGTGGTAAAGAGAGTGTTTCTAGCTTTGGAGACGAGCGCTTGGGGTTTTCGAAGATGAAGAATAATGGGAAGCCAAACAGGTTTTGGGAGAAGATAACGAGCTGTGTTTTGTTGAGTGTTAAGTACCTGTGGGATATCCTAGTGAAGATGTCTGCAAGGCACTTGGAATTACCGATTTGGTGTCCAGGAGACACTTGACTAAAGATACAGATTTGAATGTCATCATCATAATGTTAATTGCAGCCATGAGAATACATGAGATCACCTGAGAAGAGAAGTAGAACTGAGAAGGAAAGAGACCTGAGGATGCTACCCTGAGCAAGCCTACCAGTGACTAGCTGGGCAGAAGAGAAGGAATGAAAGAAGGAGAGAAAGGAGGAGGACAGTCAGAAGAGAGCAGTGTCCTGGAACCAAGGGAGAAGAAAGTTCCAATAAGTAAGGGTTGTCAACAGTTTCAGATACCTGGGCTTAAAGCAGCAAGGTGGTCTTTGGGGATCACAGTGAGAATAGTCAATTATTAAAGAGTGGCAGCAGAAGCAAATTGTTATGGGCCAGGGAGTCAGTAGGTGTTAAGAAAGTTAGATTGCTTTTTCAAGATGCTGCTTGAGGGCTCCCCTGGTGGTGCAGTGGTTAAGAATCCGCCTACCAGTGCAGGGGACATAGGTTCGAGCCCTGATCCAGGAGGATCCCATGTGCCGCGGAGCAACTAAGTCCGTGCACCACAGCAACTGAGCCTGCGCTCTAGAACCCGCGAGCCACAACTACTGAGGTCTGTGCACCTAGAGCCCATGCTCCACAACGGGAGAGGCCGCCACAATGAGAAGCCCGCACACCACAGCGAAGAGTAGCCCCTGCTCAACGCAACTAGAGAAAGCCTGTGCGCAGCAGCGAAGACCCAACGCAGCGAAAAATAAAATAAATTAAAAAAAAAAAAAGACGCTGTTTGAAAGAAATGGGGTAAGGGCGCTAATGTAAAATACGAGGTGGAGTCAGGCTTCTTACCATTCACTAGTCACATTTTCAAGTTTGTTTTAATTTGGCTGGGGGCTGAAGGAAATATATCTCACCAAGGAAAATTTTCTTGAGGAGACATTGTTGAATAAGATGGTAGCAACAGTCCTTTAAAAACACTTGCTTTTCTGTCACGATGAAGACAATGCAGAGGAACAAAGAAAGTAGCTCTCAGAACTGGAAAAGCCTAGCTTGCCTACACCTTTTAATGACAGGAGCGCTGGTATATCTCATCCTGGATACTGAATTTTTGAAATTGTAGACACTGCTGCTAAGACACACAACATTAAAAGGTGAGGGAATTTAACATTCTCAGTACAACCTACTGATACTTTTTACCGTTTAAAATCTGTAATGTCCTCAGAAAAGACCAATCGTACGTTAAAAGGGTCATTATAAGGACTCTAGTAGCCTGCCAGGGACCCAAATGCTTTCGATTAAGCTGAGTTGATTGTTGTAAGAGATAAACCTGATACAAATGCTCTCTTTTTCACCCCGATCCTCTCCTCCAGTTCCCGCCTCTCAGGTGAGCTGGGCTTTGCGCTCTGTTGCCGTGCTATCACATACCCCACCCTCAAGTGATGGCAGATCCAAGCCTGGTGCATGTACAGATGTTAGTTAGATTCAAAGCTGATTTTGAGATCATTTAGCCTTGCTGGGATTTATTCACCTGAGTGAAAATTAAGTTGCACTGTAAAGGGTGTTTTCTCTCTTTGGGTTGTTTTTTTGTTTTTGTTTTTTCCTTTCCCCTTACTTTCCACATTATTGGTTCTCAGCCTTTCAGCTTAGATTCTTGGAATCTGCCTCTTAACTGGGGAGACAGTAAAGTAAATGTGTCGGTTGCTTATTGTGAGGTGTTTAAATAATGGGTCTTATTGATTGTTTTTCTGATTTCAATATGTGTTCATTTGTAGCTGATTCTGCAAATCTGATCAATATGTGCACCAGTCATTATTCTCACCCCATTCCTTAACGCTGTTATTATTATTATTATTATTACCACTTTATGAAATAATTGAATCCTGTGCTTCAGCTTTTAAAAACTCGAGAGAATGTTTTTTTTCTTGAGTCAGACTCATTATACTTTCTCTGCTTGTGTAATTATAACATGGATTTGTAGTTTTTGTAATTAGGTTTTTCCTTTTAAATGCCTTTACTAGTGCTGTATCATAGAAAGGGGGGAATATACCATGGGATGACTGAAGATCAGGTAACGAGAATGTAACAGCTATAAAAGCTATGAATGCGCTACCAAAATTAAGATAGGTAAAGGAGCTTTCTTTTCTTTACACCTTTAAAGTATAGATAGTATATGAGTTTTGTGTGGTTACATGAAGGTGAATCCTATCTCAGACTCTCTTATAGTTTGTGATTATTTCTGCAAATTAAATGGAATCCTAAATAAGTACTATGGAAACCAACTCCTTCATGCAAACTTTACCTGAGAAAGAATTTGAATATGAATGTCTACCTGAATCTATATTGCCTAAATAGGAATTCTGGTTATAGGTTAGCTGAGCATATGGAGATTGACAAATGGTGATTAATAAGGAGAATAGGGGAAGCCAGAGGGAGCTAATAAAGTATCAGAGAGAGAGATGATTCCCCCACGCGCCACAGTGAATAAAAGATGGTGTGGTAAGGAGGATCCAGGTCTCTAGATTCCCATTACACCAGACTTCATGTTCTAGAAGAGAATCTTTGGCACCAGCTTTTTAGAAGCCTACATTTGTTCTATGTTTTTGAGAGGATTGAGAAATGGGAAAACCTTTCTTGAAGTAAAGAAACGTGTTTCAAAGTGAATTTCTGGAAAATACCTGGTTGTGTTCCACGGCTGTGAGCTGTGTCTTATGACCTCTGGTCGAACTGTAAGGAAGCTAGTTTCTTCTCTTGGGAAGAAGGTGTGTGTAAACAGTTTATCTGAGGGACACAGACTGGGATGTTTGAGAACGAGTGGGGCTTCTGAAAGTCTGATGTATTTGATGTATGTACACTAAGGAGGGCTGTGGAGAGTGCCTCATTCTTTTTTTTCTTCTTTAATATTTCTTTATTTGGCTGTTGCGGTATCTTTGTTGCGGCCTGCAGGATCTTTCGTTGCGGTACGCGGGCTTCTCTCCAGTTGTGGCACGTGGGCTCCAGAGCACGCAGGCTCAGCAGTTGCAACACACGGGCTTAGTTGCCCTGCAGCATGTGGGATCTTAGTTCCCCAACCAGGGATCGAACCTGTGTCCTCTGCTTTGGAAGGTGGATTCTTAACCACTGGACCGTCAGGGAAGTCCCCAAGAGGGCCTCATTAATAATAACAATGAGGGACTTCACTGGTGGCTCAGTGGTTAAGAATCCGCCTGCCAGTGCAGGGGACACGGGTTTGATCCCTGGTCCGGGAAGATCCCACATGCCATGGAGCAACTAAGCCAGTGCGCCACAACTACTGAGCCTGCTCTTTAGAGCCTGCTAGCTACAGCTACTGAGCCCGCGCTCCACAACTACTGAAACCCATGCTCTCTAGAGCCTGCGCGCTGCAGCTCAGGAGCCCATGCGCTGCACCTACTGAAGCCCACGTGCTCTAGGGCCCGCGTGCTGCAACTACAGAGCCCACCTACTGCAATTACTGAAACCCGCGTGCCTAGAGCCCGTGCTGCGCAGCAAGAGAAGCCACCTCAGTGAGAAGCCCATGCACCACAAGGAAGAGTAGACCCTGCTCACTGCAACTAGAGAAAGCCCGCGTGCAGCAACGAAGACCCAATGCAGCCAAAAAATATATAATAATAATAATAATAATGAGAGTAAAGTTTGCCAGCTGAGGTTCCAAAGTTAGCCTCTCATCCCTGCATTCTGGGAGAAGAGCCTGCTAATGGTTCTGGCTTTGGTCTTTGTAACAGTTGGGGACTTAGGGGACAAGAATCAGTAAAGAATCCAGAAGCCATGGAAATTTGATCTCTGACTACCTCCTTTATGGCTCGTCACAGTCTTGCTTGGCTGCGACTGGCTCTCTCCTTTCTCTTCTGTCTTTCTGTTTTGGGCCAGTGTATTTTATTTTCTATCTTCAAAGAGGAATTGAAACCATAGAGGGGAAAGAATAAATATGTTTTATGCTTGGATGTCTTCTTGACCTAGGTTGCAAAAGTAAGGTCTTGGTTTAAGAAAGTGTGATGGGGGCTTCCCTGGTGACACAGTGGTTGACAGTCCGCCTGCCGATGCAGGGGACGCGGGTTTGTGCCCTGGTTCTGGGAGGATCCCACATGCCGCGGAGCGGCTGGGCCCGTGAGCCATGGCCGCTGAGCCTGCGCGTCCAGAGCCTGTGCTCCGTGACGGGAGAGGCCACAACAGTGAGAGGCCCGCATATCACACACACACACACACACACACACACAAAGAAAGTGTGATGGGAAGATCCTAGAGAGGTGTCTTCTGTAGAATTTCCTGTGTTCAGAGTGTGGTGGGGGAGAACAATCTAGAACAAGCCCAAAGCAGCATTGATATTGGATGCACTTGTTGCATTCCTTTTCCTGACATTTTTTTTTTTTTTACCCTTCTAGACAGCAGCAGAATCATGCTGGTTAACTTTTAGAGTCAGGTCACTTTCTGTGTAGAGCTCAGGAATGTCAATAGAGTGGATGATAGAAACTGGAGTTTTATAGTGTTATTTTCTTATTATCTCTAGAACTTGATTTCTCTTGGACTTGAAAGTTCTCTACTTCTATTGCCCCTTGATACTTAGTAAATTTCTAGGCCTTTGTTGGGAGTTGATTGGATTGAACCTTCCAGATCTTTGTCCGGTTGTGACATGGAAAATGATCTTGTGTGTTGTGTTATGTTGTACTTCTAGAACTCTATGGCTTTGACGTGCTCATAGATTCTACTCTGAAGCCATGGTTGTTGGAAGTGAATCTCTCTCCCTCTTTGGCCTGGTAAGTAGTCTATTCTATCAACTAGAAAAGGACAAACCTTCAATAAGCAGCTCTAAAACACTTTTTTTTTTTTTTTTTTGGTCATTTCTCTTGGCGCTAGGAGATTTTTTTTCCCGTGGTTATTAGATTGAGATGACTAGAATTTCTAAATTTGGGGGATTTGTGGTATATTGTCAGAGTCCATATTTCAACCATGGACCCCTATCTTACTAGTCAATTTGCAATCTCTGTTTACTGTCTTATTGGGCTTCTAAGGGATGCTTCTTTCATTTTTATCCCCAGTGCGCTCCCTCTCACGCTCTCTTTTTTTAAGCTTTGTAGGTGTTCTGCTAAGGGTAAAGAAATACATGAGATATTGAATTTCCTTCGCCACCAAAAGTTTATACATACTCTAATCCACATATACCGTAAAGGTATAGAGCTGGGCCTAGGGTAGTGTAGGTAATATCTGGTCCTTTTATCCTGTCCACGTCCTGGTGTTATCCACCCAAGATTAAAGTCTAAAGACTTCAAACAATCTTTAAAAAAATTCTTTTTAACCTATGTCTTGTTTAGAAGAAGGAAAGAAACTTATTTTTCAATACCAGAGAAGATTCTGCTTCTATCTGGCTACAGCCAGAGTTTCTGTTAGCTCTGTGCTTCTCTAAACAGCTAGAAAACCCAAGAGATTTATGACAGAGACCACCCAGCTGCTGCACTTTTAACAATGAGAAATTTTGGGAAAATGCCAAGTAATCAAATAAAGACAGACTGACTACTTTGTAGGGTGGGAGTTTGGCTTAACCCCAGTAGTAAGGTGTAGAGCTGGATAATACAGATGCTTCAGATGTTGTGCTACACTTTGGTTAAGTCAACGTTTTTCAGATTTCCCAGCAGTGTACATTATACAATGTTAGAAAGCCCCAGGATAAGGCATTGGGTCCAGCAGCCAGAGGAATCTGGTTTCTGGAGGAACACCTCAACTCCAAAGCCAGCATGGCATCACTGCCATAGGGATGCCCCCCGCTTTTGGACCACGTTGTTTCTGTTTCCATGTGGGTTCTTGCTGCATCATCTGGTGATATTTTGGTATAACTTGTATTTTTTTTTTGCCTTCATTTGCAAGCCTGTAAGCTTAAGAAGATCGATTTAGAATGGAAAATGAAGTCTTAAAAAAAGTACAGAGATAGCCCAAGTTTCTTCTCTTGCATGTGAATGTGATTTGACTATCACAGCAGTTAAAAAAAAAAAAATTGAACGATGGACACACTCATAAAAGAGCATATTAAAAATCTGAACCTCTCAAATCCACAGTGATAGTGAAGCAGTGTTATGACCTGTGCAAAGTTTGAATTGCACAATACCTTCTGGAATAAAAAGATTGCATGTCAGGGGATAAGCGCCTTAGAGCTGGGCCTGCCTTGCAGAGGATGAGTTTGATGCCACGCTTTTATTTCTAGAATTTTTGCCCAGATGTTTTTTTTCCCCCCACGGATTTGATGTGCTTTATGTGTATCTCCTCATTGACATTTGGTAGCTTTGCTGTATTAAGGACTGTTAGGGGCAGCTATTCTGTTAACCTGTAAAATTATTGATTGCTCTTTTCTTTCTTTGTTCTGTTAGTGATGCACCTCTGGACCTAAAGATTAAAGCCAGTATGATTTCAGATATGTTCACTGTCGTAGGTGAGTAGTAGTGTTTTCTGAAAACTCATATAAAAGTTAAGCAGTGCATCCATTTTGTCAGGTTCTGCAGGTGTTGCCAACTGGCAGTTTCTCAGCCATGCTAAATGTTTTGTACTAAAAAGTTATATTTTCAGGGAAGTGTTTATATGTTTCTGTTCCCTCTGGCTCCATCTTGCCCTGAGGCTGAACCACAGCTAGGGATGAGACCTAATTCCTGGGGCACAGGAATTAGGAGCTGAGGAAGAGAATTAAGCAAAGATCTGGAGAAAATATATTTTTCTCTGAGCTGAGATAGTGAAACCCACTGAAGAGGCTTTGTTACGGAGGAGACTGGCTGTGTTTCTGCTAGGCAGTCTCTACTGGTGTCAGTGCTCTTCTGTAGTGGTTATAACTGAAGCAGCCAAGGAAGAAATCCCTTTCTGAGTAGATAAGCCAGAGCTTTGAGATGGAGATGGGCAGCCAGGTGGGTATCTTTTGGGTTTGGGGTTGTTGTTGTTTTAAGTACTCTAAAAAGACATGATAAAATACACTTGAAATGAACTAACACTTGGTGTACCAGCAAATGCTGTAAAACTTTGCTACTGTGTTCTCCTTAGATGAGAATTTGCTTCCTTTTAGGAAATAAGTGAAATTGGCCGAAGCTTAATTTCTTAAGCAATGGGTAATCTACAAAGCCCATTTTGCAAGTTGCCAATAGACCACCTTTAGCAGTTCCAGAAGTGGATCCTATAACAGGACAATACCCCTCACTTGCTTCTGGATTCTCCTGGTAAACAACATTATTTTCCAGTCACCATCCAGGAAGCCACTTTGAAATAACTTGTCTTTATTAACAACTGTGTGTTTTTAAATGGTGGTTTGCACTTTTACTCTGAAGTTCATCAAAAGTCTACATCTCTTTTTCCATCAGTATCACATTTCAGCTCCCCAGCTCCCCAAGGAAGCCTGATTTATCTGCATATTTTCCTTACTTGTTTGTTCCAGTTGTGGTGGTTCGAAGTTCAAGTGGAGTATGTGTATGGGAGAGTCATACCTAAACCTCCTGAGGATGGATCTCTGTAACATTTATGACAGTGAAACTGAGTTTGTCCATCTAAAGGAAAGGTGCAGCTAAATCTGCTAATTTCTTAGAAAATGGCAGGTTTTAATATTTCCCATTCCCCATTCAGGGTTTGTATGTCAAGATCCTGCCCAGCGGGCATCAACCCGGCCAATTTATCCCACCTTTGAGTCTTCCAGGCGAAACCCTTTCCAGAAACCTCAGGTAAGCAAATTCAGCAACAGGAAGCCCCAAGGAAGCTTATTGCAAAGTGGCAGCTGTTGTCAGTGAGTGAGCAGAAGCGCTATGATTATAAGGTCACTTACAGCGAGAGAATTGGGGGACCATTCTAGACAGGAGGCAGTTATATTCAGCCACAGCTAATAGCTTATGCTTTTAATGCTTTCAAACCAACTTACTCTCTGCTTTTTTCTTTCTTTTCTTTTGGCTGCTTTTTTCATTGTCTTTTCCTTTTTTCTTTTTCTCTCTTTTTAAAAGTCACTTTCTGTTTTCTCAAATTGATATGCTCATAAACGAGGCACAGAGAGAGAATCTACAAATTCCTCATCATTACTCTGCTGTATTCTTTTTTTTTAATTTTAATTAATTTATTTATGTTTCACTGCTTGGGTCTTTGTTGCTGCGTGTGGGCTTTCTCTAGTTGCAGTGAGTGGGGGCTACTCTTTGTGGTGGTGTGCAGGCTTCTCATTGTGGTGGTTTCTCTCGTTGCATAGCATGGGCTCTAGGCACGTAGGCTTCAGTAGTTGTGGCTCATGGGCTTCAGTAGTTATGGCTCATGGGCTCTAGAGTGCAGGCTCAGTAGCTGTGGCTCACGGGCTTAGTTGCTCTGCGGCATGTGGGATCTTCCCGGACCAGGGCTCGAACCCGTGTCCCCTGCCTTGGCAGGCGGATTCTTAACCACTGCGCCACCAGGGAAGCCCTGCTGCATTCTTTTTGATCTTCAGACTAGCTTCGCAGAGAAGATGCTTAATTGAAATAATATCTTCTCTACATGTGAGTCTCTTCACGGGGACCCTCAATGATCATGAGGTGCTGATTGAAGTTAAATGAGATAAATGCCTGCAGAAAGCTGTGCATGGGTGTCTGAAACATCATGGGACCCAGTGTGGCTCCAGTCTGTGTACTATGCATTTTTGTTCCAGTTAAACCAATCAGCTCATCATTCTGCCTACCTATTGCATCATCTGATCAGTCCCCGCCCATCTAGACCTGGCTAGTTTCCACTTGTGTTTCTTTGCCTCTAACGTTTCTTCTTAACCAGAAGGTCCACTTTCCTCCTGTCTTCCCATCTGGATTGATTACCTCACCTGCTCAGAAGTTTGGAGATCGTTTCTTATTCAATCCATTCCACTCTGTCATGACCTTTTCTTTTCATTGCAGCATTATTTACTGATTCTTTATTGCATTGTTTTGCATTCATTGACTTGTTGCCTTTAAATTGTCCAGTACTCCTCTGCTAGATTGTAAGCTCTTTGAGGGCAGAAACAGCTGCTGCTTCTCCCTGTCCCTCCCCTTTCCCTTACTTCGCCCCTCCTATGTTCCCCCTACCTCCACTTTAGCCCTCCACCTCTCCCTTTTTTCCTCCCACTTCTCTTCCTTTTGCTTGCTGGTCCCGTGTAGATTACTGCTACTTCTGTTTGCTAAGCTTATGTACCATTATTTATTCACATAACTTTTCATTAGAACAGGGTTTACAAACTCAAATGCCTCTAGGGGCTTCAGAGAGACAATGTAAAAGGGTAACTAGGGCCAGGTATGATACAGCTAAGAGTGCTGTGACTGCAGTAAACTGGGCAGTGCATGCTTCCTATCAAAGGGGCAGCTCTTTTACTTAAGTGCTCTGGCTGATCATTGCCATGCGTGAGTGTGGGCCAAGTGTTGTTAGATCTTCCTACTGTCAAGAGAAATCAGAAATCGTATTTTAAAATACTGGCAACAAGAGTTCAGTTTAAAAAATAATACTTTGCAGATGAAACATAGCATGTCCTTGAGCTGGATTCAGTTTATTGGTTGCCTGTGACCTCTTGCCTTAGAACTATTCCCTATTAGCATTAGTGCTGTGGTATGGAACAGGGTGAACTATATTTTAAGGGATATTATCTTAGATTAGAAGTGAAACCAGGCAACAGCGTTGTACTTGATCAGTACATCACAGATCAAAGGGTTTTCTTTAATTTTTTTTTTAAATTGCTTTACAAAGGTGTATTAGTTTCTGCTTTATAACAGTGAATCAGCTATACATATACATGTATCCCCATATCTCCTCCCTCTTGCGTCTCTCTCCCACCCTCCCTGTCCCACCCCTCTAAGTGGTCACAAAGCACCAAGCTGGTAGAGGGTTAACCTAGGCGTACTAGGAAAACTGAATTTAGGCAATCGCGTTCCTTTGCAAATTGTTTTCTGCAGTATCTGTGGCAAGAGCCACAGGACTGTGTATAAAGGATTACGAATGTTTCTGTGCATCTTTACCAGTTTCTGCAAGTTCCACTCTAGGAGTAGCTGTATGTCAATCTTGGCTGAATTGATCCCTTTTCTTAGCTTGCCTGTCAGCTTTTACTGGTGACTCTTTGCACGTAGTGGAGACTCTATTCACTGTTTGTTCTGCATACTGGTAGGTAATGGCATGACTTCATCCATGAGCAGTCCATGGCACACTTACTTAAAGGCTAAAGAAGCTGTAGATTACATGTACTGTGTGAGACCATTGTATCAGGTAGAATAGTTAACTTCAGGATCTTCAGTACGTGACAGTAGGATTGAGTTCTCAGTGGTGAGAAGGTGAAACTGGAATGGTTATACCGCAGGAGAATGCAGTGTGAACGATAATAAATGCTCTAATCTTTTGAGAGCAAAATATAGGGCTTTGGCTTTTGCTGTCTGCTTGAAGATGATTTTTGTCACCATAGATGTAGGAGTTGGAAAATACAGGCATGTTAGGAAAAGATAAGGCTTTATTCCAGTTTTCTGTCTTTTATAGCGTCCAGTATCTGCACAGTTCCAGTCATCAAGCACCAAACAGGTAAGTTCTGGATCGTTTGGAGATTTCATTCAAATTTTTATCTCCGCTCCCCAAGTGAAAAGCCATTTAGCTTCACTGTTTCACAGTACATATTTCATGCACCTGCTTTTTGAACAGCTAATGTAAAATAGAATAAGTGAAAGTGAATGCACAGAGATCTTTTTGGATGTAGTATATAAGAGTAGAGGTTGCAGGAATTTATGAATCCTCTTTTTCTGGTGGTGATTATGCTGTGATAGAGGCAGTTGAATTTAAATGATGAACAGAGTTCAGAGGCATATCTATTGTTCTGGCCAAAATATTCCAGGAAAGAAATATCATAGTGCACAAGTAACCTTTCATTAGTTCAGACATCTTATGAAACATACCCTTGTCAGTAGCTTAATATTGGAAATGTTTTCACATTGGGTATTGGGCTGTATTTGAGTTTTTTAACAGATGACTTTTCTTATATGTAGTGATTTGCAGTTTTATGAATCTTAGAAACTGCCATATTTGGTGTCTCAGATGCTACGTTTAAAATAAAGACAAAATATGTTATCTCAGTCTCTTAATGATCAGCATTTGTCCTCTTTCTATTCTTGTTAGCAGTATGTGAGATAAACTGTCACTTTCTTCTATGCAGATTTTTTTTAACATCTTTTGAAGTGATAGGATTTGATGCTTTGATATGAGTGATGTAGATGTTCTCAAGTATGTCACTTGCAATTATTAGTTCTTTAGTAAAAAGCTCCAGTATATTTATTTTGGCATTTGTAGATACAGTTTCTGGTAAGCTTGGAAGCTTGAATTATAACTTTCTTAGCTACTGTTTTTGATAAAGTGATTTACATGGTTTATATGAATCAAAGAAATGAAAAAAAGACTCACTGGCTGTGTTGTCTAGTATCTGGTAACTGATTAGTATGGTTTTGTAACACAAGTTTTGTTGTTTAGTTGGTAGAATTCAAAACTCTGTAATAGTGTTTTGTATTTAGCAGGTACCTAAGTGTGCAAGCTGCTCTCCGTGGCAAACAAAAACCAAGGCTGTTGACTTCAAAGAGCTTACACTCTATCTCTTTAACCTAACCTATTTAAGGAGAACATTAAAGTACTGTTTCATAGCCTTCTGAATTTGACTCCAAAGAAGTGTCTTTGACACGGAAATCTAATCTTAATGTCCCATTACTCATTTAAGTTCTATTCCACCTAGCTCCATTGCTTGAATTGCCATAAGTTGCAAATAACCTGTGGATGAGCAAGGCCTCTCTTTAGTGGTTATTTATTTCAACACTGCTCACGTGACTCAAAGGCTTTCTGGCTTTATTCAGCCAACCTTAAACGTATTGAATTCTTCGACTCTTACTGTCCTTTGCAATGTTCTACCTTGTCCCTATCTTTCTGTTAATGAAGCACTCTCAAATCCACAGTAGTTTCATCAGAGCTAAGTGAGAAAAGAGAAGAAACTTTCTGCTCGGGCCATTTAGACTGTGTAAACTTTTCCTTTTATGGTGGTGTCAGATTGTGAAGTCACAGTTTTTTACTTGTTGTCTGATGATTCCTTTTTAATCCATTATCTCTTTCTACATTTCTCCCTTCCCTTGAATACCTATGGTTCAACGTTTTTCACGCACCAGAAATTACATTTCAGTGTTCAAGCAGGTGATATGGTTTTGTGGAAAGAATGAGGACTTTGAAGTCAGATAGACCTGGGTTCAAATTTGAACTCTGCCAATAACTGTTAGACCTTGGGCATGTTCCCTTACGTCTCAGGCTCACTTCCCACATCTGTCAAATGAGGATAGTAATACGTACATGGAGTTATGCTGAGAAAGGAATGATCAAACGTAGGTAAAATATTTGGGATACTTTTGGACACATAGTTTACTCTCCTTCATACTTTTGAGAACTGTTTTTTTGTTTTTGTTTTGTTTTGTTTGCGGTACGCGGGCCTCTCACTGTTGTGGCCTCTCCCGTTGCGGAGCACAGGCTCCGGACGCGCAGGCTCAGCGGCCATGGCTCACGGGCCCAGCCGCTCCGCGGCATGTGGGATCTTCCCGGACTGGGGCACGAACCCGTGTCCCCTGCAGCGGCAGGCGGACTCTCAACCACTGCGCCACCAGGGAAGCCCTTGAGTACTGTTTTGATTTCCCTTTTTGCATTGTCAGTATCTGGTGTTATTTTGATATTCATTTATCTGTAGTCA